TGCCACAAAGCATGCATAAAACATCCGCTCAAGTTCTCAACAAACACAGTCAGAAAAACGTCTATGTGTATTTTCTTGCATGAGAAACTCCATGAATTTCATGAGCGCTCGTCGCCACCACGTTTCCTCCAGCGTCGAACCGCTGAAGGAAAACACGAGGCGGATAATTCCTACTTGTTCCACCTTTATCAGACTACGAGGCAATAAAACAGTTTCCGTTAATGAATCCTGAGGCGGGAGATGTTCTTCAGACCGTTTGTCGCTGCTACGTCGCGCTGCCGGAAGTCTTTGTGTTTCACAGCGAGGCCCGGAGCCGGTTTGTTGGTGCGACTTCACGTTTTTTAAATAGTAAAGCAGCAGGTTGCCGTCGTATTTAATCAGTCGTACTGTGACACTAAACCCAGATGGCGTCGTAATTGCGATATCATTATTTCATAACGACCGTAAAAGTAAAACTCCATCATGTAGATTAGAATACAGTGAAATAAGCGTTTCCGTTCTCATCGCTACACGTTTTAATTACAAGACAGCCGACATGTTTTATTTTCTGCTGGTGATTTGAAACAATCACTGAAATTAACATCAGCTAACCTGATATCAGGAGGCAGCGCTCCACGACTCATTTATCTTTAGTTTCCGTAACGATGAACAAACATCTGGCCGGATACCTGCAGTGAATACGATCTGCAGCAGCCGACAGACGTCCTCCTGTCGTGTTCAAAAGCAACTCAGAGATATTTAACAACAAAAAAACAACAAATCAACACCTCGGATGGAAGGAGATCATGAGTCTACTGCGTCGGCTGAGGTTTGTTGTGCAGCTCGTAGCATCTGGACAGCAGAGTGCTACCTGCTGGAGCATGAACATGTGGAGTCTGAATGAGGGGAATACAATCAGAACACAACCAGGTAGAGGCTGAAAGCTACTGTGGGGTAAGTAGTCGATCAATAAAGAAATACCAGCTACGGTTTCATAATCATTTATTAAACACAAACCTTCTTTATGGGGACTCTGTGATGGCATTTCTCTCCATTTCCTCACATTTTACAGATTAATTATATCGACTAAACTGTTTTATTGGAGACCTTCTGCCCTTTTTAACACCTTTAAACACATTTTAAACCAACAATACTGTAGCGACACTTTTTATTGATGGTCTGTTTGTGTGTCTCTGGTCCACCTGCCCGGGTCAATAAAATCTGTTGATCAGCCTCTAAATGATTGTTTGGTCCATAGAAAGTCAGAAAATCAAAAATCTGAATTTTTACAAATAATAATTTGCTCTTTTACAATGTTTACTGGTAAAGTTACACGATTTTTTTACTGTATTTAAATCAGCAAAAAAACAAAACATATATTTGCCACTATTTGACAGAAAACCAAAATGTATATTAAGGATTGGAAAACATTCAAATATGTTTTTAAACTGTTATTTTATGGTATTTACATTAGCAAAAAAAAGATGTACAGATATTTGTCATTATTTAAATTGAATTCAGATTTTTTAAAATAAAATAAAATAAAAAACAGATTTCCATGTTTGTTTGTTTTCCAAGTTATTGATAAAATCACAGAATAAAGCATTGCTTTACATGTTGCTGTATTTTTAGTTCTTTTAAATCACTGACCATAAAATCACTCTGTCATCATGAACAAATGCAGATTCTGTACATTTCCCATTTACAGCATATCCAGGATTCATTATGTCCCATATTTGTTTATTCTCATCACATTTCAGAGGCATTTGAAGCCAGTTTTGAGGTGTTGTAAGCCAAATTAAAACCATAAACAAAACTGATGATGAGATCGCTTAAGTTCAGCTAAATCAGAGGGGAGCATCATATGATCTTTTGGCCCAATTGCCCAACCCTGGGGATGTCACAACCAGCACAACTTTATATAGATTCATCCAGTTTAGCATTAACACAAGCTATCTATGCTTAACAATTCAGACATCTGAAGCTAACCAAATTATCGCAGTATTGGAAGAATTTCTAAAATCTGCCCACAAAGGAAACAAAAAAACATGGTACATAATCAACATGATGAATAACAGTCAAGCTTGGTGTACTGCATTTAAGACAACAGTGACAGTATTTAATCTGCTCAAACTCTCATTAGACTGACTTTACTAATTCTTTACTAAATTCTGTATTATTTTACCAATATTTGACATTATTTTCACCATTTTACAGCTTTTTGAATGTTATATGTTTAATTTATTTTATTTTTTGGCACATTTGCTGCCAGATTTTAACAGTTTTTTTTGTCTGAGTCGTCCAGAGAAAAGCTGCCTTTGACAAAGACGCAGCAGATTCCCATTAAAGCCGTCCGCCGCTCAGAGCCTTACCTCCGCTTCCAGCATGTTGTCTAAAGGCACTTCGTCATTTACACTTCGGCTTCATTAGCTCCTCGGCAGACTCGGAAACCTTCAGAGGATTTTTGGAAATATATTCAGCTTCTCAGGCTTAAACCTGCTGCCGACTGAACGCGATAACTTCCTCCTCTCGAGCCCTGAACGGTTTCTCAGACCCAGACTTCCCAGCAGCTAATACGTGAGGTTTTGATGGATGATGTGCACAGCTGTACGCCCCCCTCCCCTGCACAGCTGCCACACCCCTGCACTGGGAGATTTCACGGACGCTTACGCTACATACCGAGGCATTCCTTTCCGCTGAGAGAGCCCCTCGCCGCCTACCAGCGCTCTGTCGGCCAGGTTCTGTGTCACTTCGTATGAAATGGCGTTTTAGCGAGTGCAGTTTTTTGCTGGATGATGCGAGTCGACAGGCCGCACATCAGCAGCAGCAGCAGCAGCAGCCGGGGGGAGGACAGGCAGGTGAAGGAGGCGACGAGAACACACGACTCGTTGGCCGCCAGACACAGCCTCGGTCCCGCTTCATCTCTAAAAAACAATGCACCAAAATCAAAGCAGCTACCAGAGACAGAAACGGTAAAAGCAGAAACAATTCTACAGTTTCATTCAGCTTTTATCGAAGGCGACGTACATCTGAGAGCGGATACAACACAAGCAAGGATCTAGTCAGGAGAGAACCATCTGGATAAGAACATAGAACCAGTTCAAGTGTGACAGGGCGCTGACGCCAGCAGCAGGCTGTAGGGAGGTACTGGTGGGTTTTCAGCTTCCCCGTGAGCGTCGTGCATCTCCATCACCATGATGAAGCAAACTGAACCTCATTAGACCTGCGTCCACATGCCTGGACATCACATGTTGGGTTATTTTACCACAGTAGGTATTTACTTTTAATAGTTGTTATTCTCTTCGCTATTTGATCAGATCAAAGAGAAATAAGACCAGCNAGGTTCTGTGTCACTTCGTATGAAATGGCGTTTTAGCGAGTGCAGTTTTTTGCTGGATGATGCGAGTCGACAGGCCGCACATCAGCAGCAGCAGCCGGGGGGAGGACAGGCAGGTGAAGGAGGCGACGAGAACACACGACTCGTTGGCCGCCAGACACAGCCTCGGTCCTGCTTCCCGCTGAGCAGCTCGACAGCAGCAGCTGGGGGTTAATTGCCTTGCTCAAGGGCACTTGTTTTTAAGTGAGGGGTGGGGGACACCGACGGGAACCTCTTGCTCACTTCCCTGCTCGTATATTCCCGGCTGAACAGTCGGGTTTTGTGAAACCGCTGGCGTCTCCGTTTGACCTTGACATCCCCACGCTGGACGTGTGAGTTTTACTAGATTTATAAAATAAATAAAAACGCAGTCAGCCCGGTTTAAAGACCAAACACAGCCACGCTAACACGGAACAGCTGAAGGTGTTCACCCACAAAACCTGCCAGAAGGCTTCAATGGCATCTCATCTCTAAAAAACAATGCACCAAAATCAAAGCAGCGACCAGAGACAGAAACGGTAAAAGCAGAAACAATTCGACAGTTTCATTCAGCTTTTATCGAAGGCGACGTACATCTGAGAGCAGATACAACACAAGCAAGGATCTAGTCAGGAGAGAACCATCTGGATAAGAACATAGAACCAGTTCAAGTGTGATCGGGCGCTGACGCCAGCAGCAGGCTGTAGGGAGGTACTGGTGGGTTTTCAGCTTCCCCGTGAGTGTCGTGCATCTCCATCACCATGATGAACCAAACTGAACCTCATTAGACCTGGCGTCCACATGCCTGGACATCACATGTTATTATATTATATTACCACAGTAGGTATTTACTTTTACTGTTTTATGATTATTTATTTTTAGTTTTCAAGTTGTTATTCTCTTCGCTATTTGATCAGATCAAAGAGAAATAAGACCAGCACATCAAACAAGAGCTCAGGCCTGAAGAGGTTTGGCTTAACATTCATTTATTGGACACATCTCATTTAAAAATTCACCAAAAATAAACAGTTTGTTGTAACCATCTCTCCATCATCTCTACACCTTAATCCTCACCAGGGTCATGGGGGGCTGGAGTCTATCCCAGCTGACTCAGGGTGAAGGCAGGTTCACCTGGACAGGTAACCAGTCTATCACAGGGCTACACTTAGAGACAGACAACCAAGCACACTCACATTCACACCTACGGACAATTTAGAATCACCAATTAACCTTTTTGGACTGTGTGGGAGGAAGGTGGAGAACCTGAAGAGAACCCACGCTGCACGGGGAGAACATGGAGACTCCACACAGAAAGATTCTGGTGCCCCCACCGGGATGCAAACCAGCGACCTTCTAGCTGCGAAGCAACGTTGCTACCAACTGCGGTAACCAGATTTTATTCTGAGCTCCTTCACCAAACTACTACGTTATGATCGACTCGGCTGTGACCAACAGTCAGGAGACAAACATTCAGGGACGTTTTTCTGTTGAACTGCAGGCAGTGTTCACACAGAACCCAATGTGGAAGCAGGTTGTACATGGAAGGCCTTTAGTTCTCTCTCCTTCGAGTCACGGTTGTTGTGTTTCCATAGAGGTGCAGGACTTTATATGAAGTGAAAACTGAGCCCTGAGTGGTGAATACTACAGATTAATAACATCATTTCTATAAAGTCATTCCGACCAGTCACAACAACAGTTAGAAATATCTGTAATTCAGTGTACAGTTATAGAAAGAACGCGCTGTGCTGGATTTACGCTGTAAAATAGGAAAAGCTACTGGTGTGGAGTTTGTGGAGAACTCGAGCTTCATTCATCAGAGACTTGTGGTAGAAATTCACTCAAACTTCATCCTCAGGCTGCAGCAAACCAGCTTTTTGTTCAAACTATCAACTTCCTTTGTGTCTCTTCCTGTAATTACACTGTGACGAGCTTGAGCTTTCTGTAGCATCAATCTGATGAGCTTCAACCTTCATCTATCTGACAAGGACAACGTAGAGATCTAGACCTGAGAGAAACTGAAGGTATAGTACGATGACTAGTCAGACTGTCTGACAGTGTAATTACAGCTGGTCAGGACTCAGCTGAACAGAACTGTAGAAATACATGAATGCTAAAAGCCATTTGTCCTTGAAAGGAATGATAATATGAGCAAATGCTGTTCTTGATCCAGGAGGGCCTGAATGCCAGATATCTGCAGCAGATAAAAGGTAAAATGTCTCGCCGTGAACACCGTATTCATTCCTTTCTCTCTATTACTTCGGTTATAGCCTCTAGTGACGGATAATTTTCTTTCACATTAAAATCTGGAGGGAAGTTTCCGTCCCGTTATTGCTCTCTGCTCAGTTCGGCCGTTTAAATGTGCAGCCCGCTAAGCAAACCTCGCAGTCTTGGCAGATGGCAGCGAAGTGTCAATAAGTGATTCTGGCCACGTGCCTCAGCCCGGTGCCAGTCGGCGAGCCGGTCGGGGGAAAACGCTGCGGCAGTCGGCCTCCTAAGCCTTTTAGCGGCGGAAAAACACTCCCGCCATTCTCCGAGCCCGATCGGGGGAATAGCGATTTTCCGCCGAGCATCATATCAACAGCCAAGCAGCACGAGGGCCACAGACGCGTCCGTCTGAATGGGCTGGAGCTGAGCTAGCTCTCTGGGACCAGCATGGCAGAGGGACGCCTCTCTGGATGGAAGCCGGCCCGTTGTCTGTACGAGAGGCGCGAAACACTGTCGAGTGTCTCGCAAAGCCTCCAGCCTCCCAGAAGTGACAAATCCTTTTTTTAAAAAACGTCCTTCGAAATGAAAAAAAGTGTTTTTGTCTTTGTTTGTTTTATTGAATTTTCGGCTGCAGAGACAGAAGTCACACTGGTCAAAGCACAGCATCAGCTCTAACTGGTCCAGAGGTCAGACGCTAGGTTAAAAAGTTTCATTATCGACTTATATAAACAGCTAAATCCTGCATATTTACCCACAGGATTAACACTGTTTGTACTATTTATGCTGCTCACAGCACTCGTTAGATGATCCATTCATAACATACCCATGTATTTATGTATTCACATGACAGCGTGCTCATGGCGTTCTGTTCATACTGTAAATAATGCACATTAGATTAGATGCTCAACTGCATTTCGTTGTCTTGGTACTATTCCTCAACCCCCTCATCCTCACTCTCACCCCAACCGGTGGAGGCAGATGGCCGCCTTCCCTGAGCCCGGTTTTGTCGGAGGTTTTGGTTTTTTGGTCCCTTCCAGCCATTACTGACTACTTGCTCGTTGGGAATCCAAGGAGCCTCTGTTCTTTATTTAAGATCTGCAAGGTCTTTATCTCACTATGTGAAGTCGGAGTTTGTTTATTTTTTCAGTGTATTTAAAGGTTCTGTATGTCCGTCCGAAACAAACATGTCGACCACATTTTCTCCGTTACTTCACGTTTCATTTGCAACCACAAAAGCTGTGAACGAAAAATAATCCTTTAGCCTGCGCTAGCATCGGGAAAGACACCAAATGTCTGAAACAAGTTGTTGCTTTGTGCCTTTCTGCTCTGCTCCACTCTGCTGAGTTTCACGGTCCAACAGGAACACAAGGTGAAGCAGAGCAGAGCAGCACAACAGCAACGGTGAGCTAAAACATTAGCTACGTAAATAATCGGCAAATTTTAGATAACGTTCTCAACCGACAGTCAGCTGTGTGATCAACCAACAGTCAGTTTATTGTTCAGTAATTAAAGCACAGTGGAATTGTCCACATGAGACAAAGCTATTTTAGATTGGCCACGTTGTTACTGTAAAAAAAGAAAGAAAGAAATGGCACAGAAATCGACATTTGAAACATATTTACGAAATGTCACAAAGGCAATCTGCCAGGAAATATGCTTCCCTCAACACGTAGCTGCAGTTTTGTTGCATAGCATCATAATGTTTGGCAGAGCTGCTGTCTTTAATGCTCAGAACAGTTAAATCATCAGCAGCAGCTTCTTCATTTACAAAGCTGTTGTCAACAAAACACTAATATCAAAGAAACTTGCTGCTCTGAACTAAACCTGGAACCAGCTGTCCTGTTACCGTGGCAACAGGTCAAAGAGACAAACTTCTGTATCAGTGTGTCTGGATTTAGGCT